TAGGCCCTACATGTATGAAATTATATTATTTGACATTGTATTTAGATGTGTCACCAAAACAAAAATCAAACTTACATATTATCTTGATTGGACTTGCACGTCGGTTTGGCATGTGGGCTAATATATTGTCAACATCTGGAGGACCTTGTAAATTCTCCTCAATCTCATTATCTACCAAATCATCAGGCTCCTGTTGCTCATGTCTTTCATCTTGTGCTTCAAGGTTCAAGTTTCTTAATCGTCGGTCCTCTTGCCATGATTTCTACTGCAAAAGAGCAGTTTTAGTTTGCTGCTCAACAAACAGATAACCAAGAAAAGTTTCAATGCTGATCGTAAATCACATAGTGCACTCATAAGATGCGCACGGAACCAACACAGTGAGAACCATACATACAGAGGGGGAAATGAAGAACATGAATCTTTCTGACAGGAAAAAGAGAGATGGATAAGTATAAATTTGTAGCGCTGACTGCGCTCTAGTAATCTACCCAATGGGATCATTAGATTTTCACAGAGTGACAAAACCGAATAAAGAGAAGTCATAGAGCCAAATAATTACTCCATACAAAATCCAGGAGTCAAATAACTACTCCATACAAATTCTGAGAAATCGTAGAGCCAAATAATTACATATAGTTAATAGATGTTTCATGGAGTAAATTTAGATCAATTTTATACAAAATCGTTTAACACTAAAATACAAACAGAATCATAAACAATGTTATATGTTTTCATATAAGAAATAAAATTGTCTTTTTTATAAGAATTGTTCAGAGCTCATAACTGAGGTTGAGTCCTATGTTCATGAAAGAAATTCTACTAAATTCACATGTACATGTTTCGATCTATCATAAATAAATGTGTTCTAGACAAAAAGGACATGGATCAAAATATGCATACGACAACTATTTAAGATGTGAAAATCGAGAATCTGCAGTACTTTATTTTAGAGACAAAATCTAATACCGAGGAAGCAGCAAGAGGGGGGCACCGGGCACACGCTGGGCGGGATTTGGTCGGCCACGCCTGTGCTGCCGGTCGGGTACGAATGCGCGGTCACAGAGGCTGGACTGCCGGAAGCGTAATAACAGAGAGGAGCGGCGGGACGGCTGGGCACCGGAGCCCTGCTCGGGGCTGGTCAGCTGGCTGGCCGGCCGGCCGCTAGGTCTGGAGGCGCTGGAGAGTGGAGATCGTGAAGGCCGTGGAGGGGAGAGGCTCACCGATGGCGAGATCGTGACTAGTCGACGACGATCGGCGGATGGTCTGCGCCCGTCCGAGGAGCGGCCAGTTTTGGGCGCTTGATGCGTCGGCATCGAGGAATTTAAAAGCGGTGTGCCGCACTAACGCTGCGGCTGTGGTCTCGCAAATGTGGAGACGGGAAGGAGTGGGGAGGTTAATAGATGCGTTTTTCCCGTAATCTCACGCCAGTGGTAAGGATTTAGGCGCCGAAATTAAAATGTTCGAGCCCTCCACTACGCGGCAAGTTTTTGCAATTGTACACTAGAAAATAGGCGGCAAGACAAAATACGTTCATACGAAATTCCGATTGTAATTATCTTGTATATATATATGTTAATGAATATCTATGAACTTTTCCAAATCGGATCTTTTGCTGGTTTCATGTTTTTGGAATATTGTTTGTATATATGTTAACGAATATATGTGGAAGTACCACCAAATTTGTTTTAATCTCCAACAATATTCATATTGTTTTGAAATAATTTTCAAAAAAATAGCAAAAAAAAATTCAAGAAAATATGTTTTTTAGAAAGGCGGCAAGAGATTTGCCGGATTTTTATTAGACGAGCAAAAAGGAACAAGAAAAAAGAATTACAACAAACAACGGGAGACCAAGCTCACCGCCACCATGGCACACCGGCCAACAACCCTACTAAATACCCACATGAACGACAACTTAAAGTCTAGAAAAATAGCCTGAAGCCGAAAAAACGCAAAACTAGACCAATCGAACAGTGACCAACAAATACTAGAACTACTCCTGTTGTGGTCCATCATGAAATCTTGTTGCCAACTGGTATTGCTCTATATCTTCCTTGCAAAGGAGTGCCACCTGACTAGACTGCAGCGACTTGTTCTGAAATGTTCTTCGATTCCTTTCCTTCCATAAATTCCATCAAAAATAGATCATAATACCATCAAACGCCTTTCTCTGATCTTTGTCTGTCTTAATTCTGCACTTTCGCCAGTATTTGTGCAGGGATCCTAAAAAACCACCTCGGCCGAACCAGTATAAATCCTGTGTCATTAAGTGCTAGGCCACCTCCGATCACAACGTACAGCAAAACTACAAATATTCACTAGTTGGTCACTTTCTGTACCGACACTATTGATCGAGTAGTGAAGCCGGCTATCACTGCCAATTCAGACCACAACCTAGCAGCGATATGACATGATCGAGCATGCATAAGTTGTTGAAACACTTGAGGAGTTAGCACATTTGAAAAAGGGGCGAAAAACTAAGTGTTTGGAGGCTTCTGGTAGGCACCGGATATAACTCCGGTGGTGATTAGGACATACCTCCTTCGGATGCAACCGCTGATCCTCCAACCGTTATGCAAGGTCCAATGACTCGAGCTCAAGAACGTGACAACTAAATTTATAGGTGACCTTATTCTTAAACGATCATTTGTATAGTTTTGAGAATAGATTACTACCTAATGGTGTTATCCTATTTAGAAACATTGAAGAGGGTCATGTGGGACTTGGAGGAAGGTGTGGAGGCGGAGAAGACCAGCGAGGACGCCCAACATAAGCTGGAGGCCCAGTCCAACTAGACTTCGAAGTTATCATCACCTGACACCGTCAAACTGGACAATGATTGATAGAGACCAAGTTACTATAGTGCACCATCTTTATCTCAGAATGGCATTGCCTTATTAGTATTATATATGATAGCCCACTTAAAATCCTATTGTGCAGTTTGTTTTCACTCGCATATACTTTGTAGCAATGAAAATGCCCCGAATTTGTTATGTATAGAATGAGTAATGTGAATGATAGGATTCTGTACCAGATTGTTCCTATGGTTAGTATGGCACACGTTGCCTGATGTATGATGATGATGCAACTTTGCATGGTTTACTTTTGCTTTTGCCGTGCGAGCCCATGGTAGAAATCATTACGATTTGCAGGCAAGTAATAAAGAATATATAAGATATTATATTATGAGATGCTCAAATATTGACACATCACTTTGGGTCAAAACTTGGCCCATGTAAGCCAAAAGCCCACACCAAACCCTCACCCTCCTGCTTTCCCCTGCCTCTGCTCTGTGCCGCCAGCTTCTGCTCGGCGCCGCCCGTGTTCACGTCGGCGAGGAGGGCCGAGTTCCGGCCGACTTCCTTGGAGCGGAACCCGAGCCCACGCCCGCGTGGCGCGCCGTAGGCCAGCGCACCCGATCCCGGAGGCTGGAAAGGAAGACGCCCGTGGCCCTGACGAATCCCCCGGCTCCCCTGCTCTGTGCCTCCAACACGCCACCGGCCCCGAGGTCAGTGGCCTTGAGATTTTCCTTTGCTTTTGAGATTCCAACTGACGATTAGCTAGCTTGCTGTGTTGAATTTGCTTCGCTGTGAGGGATTAGCTAGGACCATAGTGTTGGTTTCTGAAACTACACCGACGCCGACTGTCCGTACGTGTTCGAGACTCCAAGCTGACGACCGAGTGCCGAGCGACCGTGGACCAAGCAAAAAAATTTGGACCCACCACTAGAGCAGTAGCTCATGCTCAGATTCAATGGCGGGTCAAACACGTAGCCCAGATAGACACAAGACTATCATGAAATTTGCCCAAGAATCTACTACTACTTATCATTTTAAGGCCCTCGAGTATTGTTTTTTTCCCTCAAAACAATTCAAGGTCCACGTGTGAAAGTGTCCTCAACTATGGAAGCATGCTTCTTTAAGCATAACTACGGAAGCATGCTGGCTGGCCAAATGTTTCACGGGCCGTATCTAATATGGCCCATACGTGCCGGATACACGTATCTAAGTGAATACGTATCCAATATTTTGAGTACGGCCTGGATACGTATCCATGGCTTATCTGAGGCCTATCTGTATCCGTGGCGTGCGTGTCGGATACGGGATATCCGTGCATCACAGCCCATGCCCCGTCGGTCAACCCCGGACTCCCCGAGCCCCTCGATCGGCGCCGCTTCTTTCCTTCTCGATCTGGTAACTCCATCTTTTGCTGCACAGTGTTTATAGAAACTTTTTGCATATAGCTGTACAGAAGTCAATATTCCATTATATACAAGTAACAGTGGCAAAAGGTCTGTACTGGAATTATGTCGACAAGGGAAAAAATCATTGAGAAAATATGGACTACTAAAGAAAATATGCAATACAAAATCTGGGTGCTGCATTGCAGAAGTCTGTAGATCAACAGAATATTATTTGATGGTTATTGCTAAGCTGAATGAATCAAATAAGAAAGACAAGAAGGGGGAAAGCAGTCCTGGCTTGCACCCCCCACCTGATTACTATACGATTAATTGTAGTGATGCCTCCTCCTTATGCTATGATTCCATGAAAGGAGCAGGGGATTCCATTGCCCGTAACTGCAGCAGAGAGAGTTCTGGAAACTTGCAATTGCAGACTCTCTACATGACTTTCTTTTTTCTAAAGTGGAATAATTGCAGACTCTCAAAACTCATATTGTATGGTTTAATTCACTACTGATATTAATCTGCCTCAGATATGCTTTCTTTTTACTAAATGTCTAAACTTTGTATATTTTTATGCCTTGTGTTAATGTGAAATTGTGTCATCGTTTTCATTTAGTCATGGTTGAGCAAGTTGGACTCGATCATGGTTAGTTTGAGTACTCAAATTAAGGAAGTTAGTTCATCTACCATAGAAACTAATAATCTTAATTAATTTTGTTGCTGCCAGTCAAGTACTATTTTTCGTACTCAAACATGTCTTGCAAAAGAAAAAACTGATTGATTTCATTTCATTCTTACTCCTTGTTAGAGGGTCATGGATCGAAGTTGGATGAGTAAGCCAAGACAGGATACTGCATATCAAGATGGTGTTGAGCAATTTTTGACTTTCGCTTACGGGACATTCCACGTGATAGCGAGATACTTTGTCCTTGCAAAAATGCAAAACAGATTAAACCATAGCCATGATGAAGTCAGGACACATTTGAGATGTGATGGTATTATTCAAGGTTATACGACCTGGGTTCATCATGGAGAGATGTATGAAAGTCCACAATTTGCATTTGTTGACGTGCCAACTGACACTACAAACTTGCCTACTTCGGGTGTCTCAAGGGCTCCTGCAGTACAAGATGGCATGCAAGAACTACTTCAAGCTGCCTTTTTCAGGAATGAAATGTTTGAGTCACTACCAAGTATGTCTGAAGGTGTAGTAGATGTTGAATTAGGATTTGCAGATATGGAACAAACTGTAGCTGAGGATGTGCATCCTGCAGATGACAATGCTAAGGAGAGTGAACAGAATCTATATGAAAGATACTTGAAGGATGCACACACAAGCTTATATCCTGGGTGTAAATTTTCTAAGTTGTCATTTTTGGTAAACTTATATTACTTAAAATTCTTAAATGGCTGGACACAAGAATCATTTACAAGACTTCTAGGTGTGCTATCTGATTCATATCCTCCTCATGTAGACCTACCTAAGACATATTATCAAGTGAAGAGAATCTGATAGGATTACGGATCCTACCGCGTAGATCACGGAGTCTGTAGGGGTGAGAGGGAGGTGGAGCAGGCTGGGAACCTCGCTGCCGGCGGCTGGACGCCGTGGTGGAGGATGGGCGGCTGCTGCTGTAGCCCTAACCTTCACGGCTACAGTTTCTCCCGGCTCCCTGAGGAAGCCGGAAACAATAATATGTTTCTGCTTAATCTCACAAATAGAGTCTTACAAATATTTATATGTCTCTCTAATAGCGATAATTATAAAATAACCCTCTACCAATACTATAATTGCGACAATTATATGGGCCATAGCCCTCTGATGGCCGGCTTCCCTCCTAGCCCTTAGCTGGGCTGCGACGGCTGTAGGGGATGCCGGTCATAACATCTCTCCCCGCCTGCAAAAACAGCTCGTCCTCGAGCTGGAAATCGGGGTGCTCGGCGCGGAACTCCTCGAGTGACTCCCACGTTGCATCATCTGCTGACAGACCGCGCCACTTGATCAAGATCTTCCAAACACCCCGGCGCTGCTGAGCGCGCAGGGCGCGTTCCGGGCCTGGCAGGGCCCGGCCATCCAAAGCCGGTGGCAAGACACCGGCGGCAGTGGGGGGATCGCCGCGGTGCTGCTTCAGGAGGCCCACATGAAAAACATCGTGGATGCGGGTGTCATCGGGCAGCTGGAGGCGGTAGGCGACGCGACCGATGCGCTCCAGCACGCGAAACGGCCCCGCCCAGCGCGGCCCCAACTTGCGCTTGGAGCGAGGGTCGAGGGACTGCTGCGTGGTGCGGTGAAGGAGACGCAGCCAGACCCACGAGCCCACCTCGAACTCCACATCCCTGTGGTTGGCGTCGTAGTAGCGTTTGGAGAGCTGCTGGGCTTGAAGGAGCCGCTGACGGACCTCAGCGAGCATCTCGTCGCGGCTGCGGAGTATGGCGTCGGCGGCCTCGGTACGAGCCGTTCCCGGCTGGTACGGCAATATGGGCGGCGGTGGTCGACCGTAGACGACCTCGAAAGGCGTGGCGCGGAGGGCGGTATGGAAAGAAGTATTGTAGCAATACTCACCCACGGCATGCCCACCCACCCACGCCGAGGCCGGTCACCAGTAACACGCGCAAATACATGGCAATCACCTTGTTGACCACCTCCGACTGGCCGTCCGTCTGAGGGTGGAAGGCGGTGCTCATGCGGAGCTTGACGCCTGCCATCTGGAAAAGGTCCCGCCACACGGGCGGTGAACACGGGGTCCCGGTCATCGACGATGATGAGAGCGGAAACCCGTGGAGCCGCATAATGCCGCCGAAGAAAGCACGGCGACCGACGCGCCGTGTAGGGGTGCCCGAGCACGATGAAGTGCGCGTACTTAGAGAAACGGTCGACGACGGTGAGGATAACTGACTTGCCGGCGACTTTGGGCAGCCCCTCGATGAAGTCGATCGAGATGTCCGCCCAAACTTGGGAGGGCACGTCGAGGGGCTGCAGCAGTCCCGCTGGCTGCAACGCCTCCGTCTTGTTGCGCTGGCACGTGGTGCAGGAACGCACCAAGTCGCGCACCAGTGCCCTGTCCCGCAGAATGTAGAACTCGGCACGGAGGCGGTGCAGCGTCTTCTGGGTCCCCTCATGGCCGGCAAAGATGGGCGATGAGGAGGACTCGGTGGCGGAGGTCCTCGTGATCCGCACGAAGATACGAGACCTGGGAGGAGGAGGCCGCCCCAGCGCCACGGCTCCGCGAGCTCTCCGCTCGAGCTGCCGCAGCGGCCTACCGCCATCCGGCGCCGTGGCTGTAGCGCGCCTGATGGCGTCGAGGAGGTCAAACGAAGGCCCGGACACAGCCACCGCTGCCCCTAGGGCGTCCGGCGACGGTACAGGCGCCACCGCCTCACTGTCGCGGCGTGACAGAGCGTCCACCACGGTGTTGAGGCAGCCCGGGCGGTACTCCACGGTGAAGTCGAAGCCGAAAAGTTTGCTGATCCATTGGTGCTGTGGAACGGTAGACAAACGCTGATCAAGCAAAAATTTGAGACTGTAGTGGTCAGTGCGAACCAGGAAGGGGCGCCCCCACAAATACGGGCGCCAGTGGCGCACAGCTTGCACCAAGTCGATGAGCTCGCGTTCGTAGGCGGCGAGCTTGAGGTGGCGAGCTGCAAATGGCCTGCTGAAGTAGGCGAGGGGTCCCGCGCCCCGGTGGAGGACGGCGCCGAACCCCGCACCCGATGCATCGCAGTCGACCACGAAAGTAGCGTTGAAATCCGGCATCTGAAGCACGGGCCCCGTCGTCAAGGCGCACTTGAGCGCCTCGAAAGCCGTCGTCGCGTCGTCGTCCCACACGAACGCGTCTCGCCGCAAGAGTCGCGTGAGTGGGGCCGCGATGATGCCGAAGTCGCGGATGAACTTCCTGTAGTATCCCGCCAAGCCCAAGAAGCCGCGAAGGCCCCGGGCCGAGCGAGGTAGAGGCCACGCCGCCACCGCGTCGACCTTGTCGGCGTCCATGGCGATACCGCCCTCGGCGATGACATGGCCAAGATAGGTCACGGATGGCGCCCCGAACGAGCACTTGGAGCGCTTCAAGTATAGATGGTGCGCCCGCAGGGCGCTGAGGACGATGTTGATGTGCTGCAGATGCTCAGACCACGACGAGCTGTAGATGAGGATATCATCGAAGAAAACGAGCACAAACCGCCGGAGGTAGGTGCGGCACATCGTCATCGTGGCTCGGAAGGTGGCCGGGCATTAGAAAGCCCGAAAGGCATCACTAGAAACTCGGTGGCCGTGGTGAGTGCGAACGCCGCCTTGGCGATGTCGCCGGATGCATCCGCACTTTGATGATACCCTCGAGCGTAGGTCCGCTTTTGTGAAAAAGCGAGCTCCATGGAGCTCATCGAGGAGCTCATCGACCACCGGTATCGGGAACTTGTCCTTGGATGTCTTGGCGTTGAGGGCGCGGTAGTCAATGCAGAAGCGCCACGACTGGTCCGCCTTGCGCACCAGCAAGACGGGCGCCGAGAAAGGTGAAGTGGTCGGCCTGATGATCCCTTGGGTGAGCATGGCCGCGCACTGCCGCTCCAGCTCGTCCTTCTGTAGCTGGGGATAGCGGTAAGGGCGCACCGCCACCGGCGCGGTACCCGGTAGCAAGTGGATGCGGTGGTCGTACGCTCGCGCCGGCGGAAGGCCCGTGGGTTCGGTGAAGACGACGGCGTCGTCTTTGGAGGAGGACGCCCAAAGCAGCAGTCCGCCGTGGGTCGGGGCGCCCGCGCCGCCGCAATGTCCGAGGGGGGGCTGGAGAGGGTGCAACCGCCCCAGCCACTCCCTGCCAGGTGACGCGGCGGCCGTCGCGCCAAAACGACAGGGTGAGGGCCTCGCAGTCCCATAGTATGGGGCCCAAGGTGCGGATGAAGTCGAAGCCCATGATGAAGTCAAATCCGCCCAAGTTGAGGCCGACACACGTGATGGCGAAGTCCTCGTCGTAGATGCGAATGGGCACGTTGCGCGCGATGCCCTCACAAGGCATGCGGTCGCCATTGGCCACCGTGATCCGCAGGCGCTCCCCGCCCGCCGGAACGAGGCCCAGGCGGCGCATGGTCTCCCCCGACACGAAGTTATGGGTGGAGCCCGTGTCGAGGAGGGCCAGGAAGCGTTCGCCCTTGATGACGACGGGCAGCAGCATGGAGTTGGCGGCCCGAATACCTGCAACAGCCTGGAGGGAGACCACAAGGGCGTTAGCGGCAGCCATCTCCGGCCCGGCTAACTCGCTGGACGGGGTGTCCTCAGTTGCCTCCACGGGAGTCTCCACGATGTAGTCGTCGACCTCCAGGTAGAAGAGGCGCTTGCACACGCGTGCGCGTCACGTAAGGCTCGTCATCACGCTTGAAGCACAGCCGGGCGACGGCGCTCTCCCGCTGTTCGTCCGGAGAGAGCCGACGAAAAAGTGGGCGCCGGTGTCGGGTGTAGGAGCGGCGGCCGCAGTGGAGGAGGACCGCTTCGGCGTCCGCTGCCGCGAGTCTGAGTTGACCGCAGGGCGGCCGGGCGCCACGAGGCTGCGGGCGGTGGAGATACGCAATCCTCGAACGCCTGCGCGCAAGTACATGTCGGTTTGGAGGTCGAGGCGCGCGCGAGCTGAACTCGCTTGCGAGTTGGTCCAAAGAGCAGCCGCCAACGTATAACTCCGCCTTTTGGCGAGCGGAGAGGTTGCGGGCGTGGCACAGGATGGCATTGTAGCGCTCCGAGTAATCCTGCACGGAAGAACCAAAAGGAAGGCGGGCAAGCTCCGCCAACCGTGTGCCCAGAACAGGGGGCCCGAAGCGGAGCGAACATAACTCGCGGAAGCGCTCCCAAGGGGGCATGCCCTCGTCCTGCTCCAGGGCGTAGTACCATGTCTGGGCAGCACCCCGAAGATGGTAGGACGCGAGCCATGTGCGCGCGGATGCTAGCGTCTGCTGACCGCGGAAGAACTGCTCGCACTGGTTCAACCAATTCAGGGGGTCTGCCGAGCCGTCGTACGTAGGAAACTCCAATTTGTAGAATTTGGGCCCCGCTTGTGCGCCCGCGAGGGCAGCACCAAGGCCCGGGTCAAAGCCCCCCCGCTGCTGGCCGCCCGAGGAAGAAGGCGCCCCGAAGAACAGCGAGCCGTCCACCCCCCCAGAGAGAGGACCGCCGGCGGAAGGCAGGGTTGGAACCGCTGTTGTCGCGATCGTCGTGGAGGGTGATGGGGTTGTCGACGTGGCTATCGAGTAGAGCGGAGCAGACGCCGTCACGGACGGCTGCAGCCAATCAGGCAGCGGTGACGGCGAGGCCGGCCATTGCAACAGATGGAGCGGAACTCCGGCCCCCGTCGACGGCATGCCGTAGGGGTAGGAAGTCGGCGGCGCCTTGATGGGGATCGAGTCTGTGGGCACCAATGGCGCGAGCGAGTGGTGGTGCGGGAAACGGCGGCGGTGGAGGCGCCTGGAGCAGGCCGGCCCACGCCGTCTACATGGAGACCACCGCGTTGGCGATCAGATCAACCTTGGCCCCCATCGATTCCAACGTCAGGGGCTGGGCAGAGGCGTTGACGCCTCAACAACTCCGACGACGCAGCCGGTCGGCGGCGGCGGTGGTCACCGGGATGGAGGAACTCGGAGGAGCAATCGTCAATGAACCAGCAACGCCGATACCAAAGTTGATAGGATTACGGATCCTACCGCGTGAGATCACGGAGTCTCAGAGGGGTGAGAGGGAGGTGGAGCAGTCGGGAACCTCGGCCGGGGGCTGCCGGACGCCGTGGTGGAGGATGGGCGGTCACTGCTGTAGCCCTAACCTTCACGCTGCTACAACAGGCGGGCGGCACTGCTTCACGCGTGAACAGAGAGGCGGCTAGGGTTTCTCTCGGCTAGGGTTTCTCCCGGCTCCCTGAGGAAGCCGGAAACAATAATATGTTTCTGCTTAATCTCACAAATAGAGTCTTACAAATATTTATATGTCTCTCTAATAGCGATAATTATAAAATAACCCTCTACCAATACTATAATTGCGACAATTATATGGGCCATAGCCCTCTGATGGCCGGCTTCCCTCCTAGCCCTTAGCTGGGCTGCAACGGCTGTAGGGGATGCCGGTCATAACAGAATCATCCGTGCTTTAGGCCTTGACTATGTGAAAATACATGCTTGCCCCAAAGATTGCATGCTTTTCCGAGGAAGTTCAGCTAAGAAAGATTTTTGTGATGTGTGCCAGAGCTCTCGCTGGAAAGATTTTAAGAAGAATGGTTCTACAGTTAGACCTAAGAAGAAAAAGAAACCAGCGAAAGTGTTGCGCTATTTTCCATTGATACCGAGGCTCCAAAGGTTATTTTCAACTACCAAAACTTCAGAAGACATGAGATGGCATGAGGACGGACGCACAAAAGATGGAAAAATGCGACATCCAGCGGATGGTGAAGCTTGGGAAGATTTTAATTGTAGATATCCTAACTTTGCAGCAGATGCTCGTAATGTACGCCTTGGTCTTGCAAGTGATGGATTTAACCCTTTTGGGAATATGAGTTCAAAGCACAGTACATGGCCTGTAATGCTGGTTCCTTACAACTTGCCACCTTGGATCTGCATGAAACAAACATCCTTATTGTTGTCAATGATCATTCCTGGACCGGATTCTCTGGGGAATGATGTTGATATATACTTACAGCCCTTGATCGATGAGCTCTTAGAATTATGGAAACGAGTGCAAACATGTGATGCCTCTTCTCGAAAGAAATTTCCTCTGTGAGCTGCACTGTTGTGGACTATAAATGATTTTCCTGCATTAGCTTACCTATATGGCTGGAGCACAAGTGGTACATATGCATGCCCATCATGTGGTCCAGCAACAAAATCATTTCACCTGAAGAATGGTAAAAAGATGTGCTATATGGGACATCGTAGGTGGCTCCCGCAGAACCACATATATCGAAGGCAAAAGAACCAGTTTGATGGCATGGTAGAGGTTGGACTTGCTCCTGAAATAATGAGTGGTACTTCTATTTTAAAAATGTTAGAAGGTAGAGTTTTTGTTTTAGGGAAAAAGGACCTCACAACAAAGAATACAAAGGGAAATAACAAAGGAAAAAAGAAAGGAAAGCAAGGTGATGAAAGCCATCAGAAATCCAAGCGTAAAAGAGGACAAAAGAAACAGAAAGATGGGAACAATGGCAAGAAGGAGAAGAAGCCAGAAGATTGGTTGAAAAAGCGATCAATATTCTTTCAGTTACCATACTGGGAAAATAACAAACTAAGGCACAATCTAGATGTGATGCACTTAGAGAAAAATCTATGTGACAACTTAATTGGAACTTTAATGGATATTCCTTCCAAAACAAAGGATGGTCTTAAAGCATGACTGGATTTAGTGGAACTTGGAATTCGACACAATCTTCATCCTGTGGTAGATAATGAAGGAAAGCAAACTGTGCCTGATGCACCTTTTACCATGTCTAGAGAAAAAAAAGGAGGTTCTCTGTTCAGTATTCCAAAACCTAAGAACACCTGATGGCTATGCATCAAACATTTCTAGGTGTGTTAACATGAAAGATTGTACATTGACTGGACTAAAAAGTCACGACAATCATGTTTTACTACATGACATCCTTCCAGTGGCACTCCGATCCTGTTACCCAGCAAAGATGTCATGGAAATAGTTATTGGAATATCTAATTTCTTTAAGAAGTTATGCTCGAAGGTGATAGATACTGATGAGCTACAAACCCTTCAAGAGAGTATTGTGGTAACACTCTGTAATATGGAGAAAATTTTTCTACCATCATTTTTTATCGTGTGATGAAAGGCACTTGATGGTGCATTTGGTAGAAGAAGTTAGACCTGGTGGCCCCGCTCACTACTACCGTGGATGTACCCCATGGAGAGGTATGTAATTACATTTTGTAGGGTTATTGTCAATAATTTGTTCAACTAACAACAAGTGTTGATGATTTCATTTAGATTTTTTGTTCGGCTTAAAAGCGCTTGTGAAGAATGAGCTCAGCCAGAAGGTTCGATTGCTGAAGGGTATTGCATGGAGGAGTGCATGACATTTTGTTCCAGATTTCTTGATGGAGATACTCGTTTTAACAGACTGGCTAGAAATCCCGAACCTTCAGGCAATATGAAAGATATGTACATGTTTGAGAGTGCTGGAGAACCAATTGGAAAAGCTACTGTAAGCCATTTTGATAGCCAGCTTCTTATTCAGGCACATCGATACGTGTTGCGACACTGCGATGAACTTGAAGAATTCCGCAAGTGTGTACTATAATTTCTCTTGACTCTATTTTAAATTTTTATTATGTTGAAGCCATCACTATATAACAAATAATCCATTGTTGTAGAGAGTTTGTGGATGAGGAGAAAGGAAAATCGTGTCCTTCAACAACTTTGATTCTGGCTTCCATCGATAAGTTGATAGACCAGCACTTCCCTGACTGGTTGGAACAGAAGGTAGTACAACTGAAATAGCTTATTAGGCGAGGAGTCTAATAGAATGAATTGATCTAATAATTAATTTCTTCACTACAGGTTATCCTAGGTGATGGACTAGGAATCACTAAAAAAGTTCGAGCTTTGGCTGCCAAACCGAGCAGACATGGTGTGAGATACAGCGGCTATATTATTAATGGTTTCAGGTTCCACACACTGAGTCGTGAGGCTGCAAGGTCGACACAAAATAGTGGTGTAGTTAACATTGCAGAAGATGGGGTTAATTATTATGGCAGATTAACAGATATAATAGAACTGACATACACTGACTACAAGGCTGTTCTTTTCAAATGTGATTGGTATGATGTCCATCATCGTGCTGGTTTACGAAACGATGAGTTTGGATTACCACTTGTGAATTTTTCAAAGAAAATACACACTGGGGAAAAACTGGAGCATTATCCCTGTGTCTTTTCTTCATAAGTGGAGCAAGTCTTTTATATTGAACACCCAAAAGCTGAAGGATGGAATTCTGTGGTAAGATTTAAGCCACGAGATACTTTTGACATGGGTGATGATGAACTGCCACCGGATGAAGCAAATTAGACTAACTGGCTTTCAGGTATTATCAGGCTTTTTTTTGAGAGTATGTGGACAATTGAGTGCCACTAATTTTGACATACATAAATATAATAATAATTATTCAGGTTGCACTTATTACAAGGCATATTTGTTTCAGGTTACTCTTGTCTATGCAGGAGGGTGTGTGTTGCTCTGTTTCACCCAGGTGATGGATGTGTTCCTGCATGATGGATCGAAGAGCATCTTAGTTTCTGTAGGCTGCTAGCATGTGTTTTCTTTGTAATATGTTTTTTAAGAAGTTTCATTTACAATTGGTGGTCTAAGTGAGAAATCAATGCCACTCACATGTAATGCTTGAATTATTGAGAAATTGAGTCCAGTAATTTATAGATTGGTCGTATGATTGAGAAATTGAGGTTAGTCATATGATTGAAAAAGCAGCATGTGTTTTCTTTTGCTTGAATCTTTGAGTGAAAATTATGAAATTGTTGAGCGTGTGAAAATTTTGGAAAAATATGGGGAAAAACATGTATTTTATTTGGCTTGAATTGTTGCGAGAAAATTATGGAATGTTGAGTGTGAGAACATTTTTTATGAATAATATGGAAAAAATACAGGCAAGGAAGTTTTGACCTCTTGACCACGTGTAGAGAATTAAGGAAAGGTTACCATAACACTACATGTTCAAAAAAAGCATTTTTAGATAGTTATTGACGGTAAGCTGATACACTTTATCACGTATCTACAAGCATGTAACGGTCAAATAGAGTCTAATTTTGTGTTAGCTTGATATGTTTTTATTATCGTATCAAAAGGTGTCTTTACGTGCCTATAAACAATTGTTTGATACGTTCTGTGACGTGTCTAGATGGTACAAACGATATGAAGCATCTGTATATCTGTAACGTTTTGTGGCGTTTTTAGTATCGTGACAATTAGTGTGTTTAGATTTATATGGACGGTGTTATGACACACTTTATAACGTGTCTAGACGCTATTGACGATTAAAAGCATGTCTAAGACCGTGTCATTTTGATACATTTCCAAAATCGTCTCGAGAAGTGTCTTTACATGTCTTGTAACAGTGAAAGCGTGTCAAATGTCGTATCCAGTTGACACATTTCCAAAGTCGTGCTTAGAAGCGTCGTTATGTGCCCATGTACATACGCTTTCAACCAGCGTCACAAAGAAAACGTGTCTAGAGGGGGGTGTTTCTTGTAGTGGGGACCCGTCTTCTTCCCAGTGATTGCCTGCGGAACACCAAGGCGTTTTCTTCCTAGTGATCCGTTTGTGGGACTGCACTGCGAACATCATCCTGCATCGATTGTGGTCCGCGACTTTGAGCAACGCACGATGTCGACGGTTGCGAATGGAGCCTCCGATACCCTCGACATGGGACCCTCCGTTGGGTACAATCTAATCTTTCTGATTACTGTAATCTGCGCTTTTACTGTATTTATCTGTATGTCATCTCTGCATGCTATAACATTCGTTAAAGATATACACATACACATATAAACCGTCACGAACCCGCTGATGTTATTTTTCTGGATTAAACTGATAATAAAAATGCCTAGATTTCTAACATCTCGCTGCTGCTCTTCGTCGTGCTGGCTGCCGCGGTCACTATCTCCAGCACTGGTGCGCGTGCGGCCTAGCGGATGCCGCGATCGCAGCTCTACTACCGACGTTTGCATAGGAGCCACGGCGAGGTAGGGGACGGGATTCTCAACTTCTGCGCAGGAATAGCAGCCACGCGGTAGCTGCATGCTGTGCGTACTGTGCCTGGAGGACGTGCGGGCGAGCGACATGGTGTGGCAGCTGCCGGCGTGCCGCCACCTGTTCCACGTCGACCACATTGACGCCTGCCTCAGGCTTAATTGCTTAAGGCAAACTCAATTTACTAATATACCCTCCATAATAAAAAAAAGCCATTATATGAATAATCTTTCTCAATTAATTGACTAGAAAATAGAAAAAATAAAAGTACCGGCATGTCCCAAAGTATTTTTCCAACCATTGTAAAAGAGCTATAAATATATTGATGGTCCAAATTCAAAACGATCGATGAAAATTAATCCTGAGTTGACCTTTATACATCTGTGACAAGATATACTCCTATATATTGACTGGTATTACTGTCTTAGCTAGCTGAGGTTAGCCGCCGGTTCTCCTTCGTGTTTCTTGTTATCGTCAACCTAAAGTTGAGTGCCTTTCTAGATATAGACACCTAAAAAACAGACGCTGTGTCCGTCCGGTTAGCCACAAGCCTGATACAACACGCTGCAATTCAGAGTGAGTTCATCAAACTACAGTGAAGCTTTTATTCATTTCAAGATCAAACACCAGTGAATGTCCTGTTCTTCTGCGTGCAACTTTTGCCGCATGGCACTAATCAGGCAAAGTAGGGCTTAATTTGGCCGCCGATTAGGTACTGTTTGCGAAAAATTAGTTGCACGTTTGTAGTCATGGCCGTACGGTGTATCTTTGATTTCCTGCCTCCTGTCGCCCCACTTAGATAACATGATTATATATGCATGCATGGTCCATGCATCCACATCTGCATCATTTGCAGGACGTACGACGTACGTAGTACTCGATTGAGTTGAGTCCAAACTAAATATTTCTCTGGTTAACATTTTTACCATAAATTGAAAATTAATGTACCAACAAACTAAAATACATATATGATACTCCACGTTTTCCAATTACAAAAACTAAAAATTGAGTAACTTAAACTAAAAGTCGGGTATCAAACTAAATTTGAGCTCAATCTGGTATATTAAACTAAATTTGGGCTCAATCGAGTATTAAACTAAAAATTGAGTAACTTAACTAAAAGTTTGAGCTCAGCAGTGTATAAAACTAAATTTGAGCTCAGTCGGGTATTAAACTAAAAAAATTGGACATAAACTATTCAGATTTTTATAATGAAAAACTAAACATTACAAAAGTTCATTATGGGGTAGGTAATTGGAGCACTAATGTTTACATATTTTTCCTACTGGTACATTGGTTCTGCAATAGGTTTTAGTATATGAACTAATATTAGTACTGATGAAAAAGGACATGGTTGTTTTCAATCTTCATGCACGTATATGCATGGGGCCATGGAGAGGAATCGTACTGAAATGGACTCCGGAAATTGGACTTGATGGTAGAGTCACAATTGCACACAGTAGCAGTATGTTTTATATAAAGAAGAAAACATCCATTCACTTGGAAAACTTCGTTTTCATGAGTATGTCCAAATTAGTTAAACGAGGGCAAGGCACCAATGTCCCTGGCCTGTAAACTCCAAAGTCAGATAAAACGCAGGGCACAACAACTACACAACAAGGTACGTCCAAGAGTTGCAATGATTATTTATTGTGTGCGGACCATCAAGAAAACAACCCATCATGCATCTTAGAGTTAAGTATGTACTTACTACTAGTAGCGCCAAAGGGCCTCTAGTCCAACTGGTTAGAGCGTCCCGATGGCACTCCCCAGGTCCTGGGTTCGACTCCCCGTGGGAGCGAATTTTAGGCTGGGGTTAAAAAAAAAATCCCCTCGTCTATACCACGCCAAAGCACAGGTCTAAAGACCGGCCCGTTCTCACAGGGTAACGGTGCCGCTGTGTAAGGGTGGGGCAGGGGTTCGGGCGTTTTCTGAGCCTGCGTGAGAAGATCTTCTTCTTAATGCAATGCCTGGGGGTGGTCATACCCTCGTAGGTCCAGTTTTCTTACTACTAGTAGCTAGCAAACTTAAGTAAAAGCTCCACTTCATTAAACAAAGCCAAATAGCCATCTCAAAGTACATCATCAACATGATCCTCTAGTAGTCTACTTGTTGTTGTAGTAGTATCTTTCAGATAATTGAAACCTGATGCTTGTCTGTCCATGCATTTCCCACCATTATTTGCATGCAAAACCTCTCACATCCAACTTGGATTAACAGCCAAACGACCGATCGTAAAAGCAGAGACGATGACACCACACAATGCAAGCTTACATCAAAATACAAGAATTGCTCACTACTAAGCATATAGCTCATCACCAGCTCTACTAATATCCTTGAGTACAGTACTAGTAGTAGAGTTTAGTAGCTAGACAGCGGCAGGGCAGCTAATGAGCAGTTGCAAAAGTACGGTATAGCTAGTAGCTAGGCAGGAGGCAGCAGCATGCCTGAGACTGAGATCTAACGGACGTGCACGCATGCATGCGCTCTCACCGGGAGCTTGCTTGCCTTTTCCGGCCGGTACGACGGTGATCACATGAGCAGGCTCCTGATGACGGCGGCCTGGTCGCTGGTGATATCGACGGAGGCGAGCAGCTCGGCGAGCGTCTCGCTGAGGTTGTCCACCTCCTGGTTCAGGCTCCTGATGTAGCTGCACGTGTCCTGAAGCACCCTCGCCGCCGAGTCCTGCGTTCTTGGTTGTCCTTGTGAGCTTGCTGCTACTTAAGTAGCTAGATGTCTACGACTACGAGCTAGCAAACAATTTGGCTGCACTAGTGCATCAGAGTGCTGAGTAGTGCTTACCCTATGTGCGCCATTGCGAGTTTGAGACTCCGGGAGCAGCGCCTGAAGCTTGGAAAGGAGCTCGGAGATCTGGTCCTCCGAGATGGACCTCGACGTCGACGACGACAGCGAGCTCCCCGCACGCCGTGTGCGTGATGACCTCCGGCTGCTGGACATGTCTCCGTTGCTTGCTGCAATCTGATTATCTATATGTGGATCGGAGCTAGCTATAGTATAGCTAGCTAATAGTAGGAGCAGTGCTTGAAGGTGAAACGAAGTAGCTAGAAGAAGAGCGGGAGAGCTCGGGGAGTAGACAACAGCTCGCTTTAAGGCAGGTGATCAGTGGCAGTTGCAGATGGAGCAGAGTGAGCTGCTGCTATATATAATGAGGAGATGGCCGG